TATCCCTACTAAATCTCCTGATGTTATGATCCACGGATTTTTGCGTTTTTGGACTTTTAAAAAGCGGATTGTCCAGACGTCAACCAACCTTCCTTGGACTTTGGAAACCCGTTCAAGATGAATGGGATAAAATCTGCTACTAAAAAGGCTTTGTCTTGGAAATTACGGTGTGTAAACATAGTGAAGAATAAGGGTTATCAAATGGAACATTTAAAAAACAAAAATTTTAGAATATATTTGTAAATACAATGAATTTCGTTTAAAAAAATGTGCCAACAGCCTTAGTATTTTATGTAGTATTCGTCGTTATCCGAGGTTTCAGGCATCCCGCGGTAAGCCCCAGAATAATTAATTACTCGCGGATAGAGTACAGCAAATTAGGTGATAGCCAGCTGTTCCGCTATGAGGTATAAGCTTTTATTCCTGTCATACGTCCGAACCTCGTCTGGGTCAAAGCACATCACGGTATCTTAGGTAATGAACTAGCGGATCAACAAGCCAAAGCGGCAGCTCAAGCAGTAGAACGTCCTATGTTTATCCTCTTCATTCTTCTTATGTTAAAAAATTTACATGGAAAATTCTTTTGACAAAGTGGCAACAAGAATGGATTTCTGGTACAACTGTTCGAAGAGCATAAATTTATTCCTAAAGTCTCATCAAAATTATATTCAATCTCTTCTTCAGTTACCTGGTTTGCCACTGGACATGGCCCTTTCAAGAGCTACCTTCATCGCTTTGGAATAAGCTCATAATCATTGTGAGTGTGGAAACATTGCCGATCCCGATCATATCGTTTTCAATTGTACATATTATGCGCAAGATCTTCTAAAAGCTTCATCCGAACAATTTTGGCCACAGTGGTTCAATAATTTAATAAAATATAAAGCAAGCCTCAGCCAACTAGACAAAATAATTTCACACTGCAGCTCTTCAACACTTACTGTTTCCCATAGCCAGATGTAGAATCTATTCTTCTCCTTAATGTTCAATGTTTTTTATTTTTAACTATTTAACAATAGCATTGTACTTTACTTTTTTAAAAAATATTATTATTATTCTAATTTTTAACATCAGAGTTCTGTAACTTTGCTAGATATGTTAAAATAGCTCCTCTTTTCTATTAGTTCCTTTATGAAAATTTTGTCAAAATATGTTTATTCACAAATCATGTACTCTTTGGTTCTGGTGTATATGCTAGTTCTTTAAATCAAAACTCTCAAAGTCCAAATTTCCAATAACTATGCCTAACTTTCATATCAATGCTTTTTACATTTTCCCTTCAAGACATAGTTTTCATCCTAAATCATTTTTCTTTTTCTAATCGTACGAAGCACCTACTGCACAAGGCACAATAGTCTTCATAACAAAAACTTTCATTTTCTTATGACTATTGTTCAATTTACCACATCTGATCCACCACCCGGCCCTTCGTTGTGGTGCGCTGATAGTGGTTTCTTCCTTCCGTGGGATGTCATCATCCTGTTTGTTGTCCTACAGGACAGCTTAGGTCAGGAGCCGTCTCGTCGGGTAGAGCTGTCATTTGAGAAAGTACCCATTCTTGCTGCTTCTTGTTTCTATTTGTTTCTACTAAGAGGTGTATTCGGAAACTAAGTACCGTTTTGGAAAAAAAAAAAAAAAAAAAAAAAAATAGTAAAACTATTTTTTTGAATCCAATTTTATTTTTACATGAAAATACATGTCTTAAACTATTTTTCAACATAGTTTTCCGCCAATGATCAAACACTTGTCATAGCGGGTGACCAGTTTTGTTATACCATCGTCAAAAGAAACTTCCCGCCAGTTTCGATAACCACGACTCCACAGCATTTTTCGTGTCATCGTCAGATCCAAAGCGCTTGCCACCAAGCTCGCGCTTCATGTGCAGGAACAAGTGATAGTCGGACGGCGCCAAATCCGGGCTGTACGGCGGGTGATCGAACTGCTCCCAATGAAACTGTCGAATTAACGATTGAGTGACACCAGCAGTATGCGGCCGAGCATTGTCATGGAGCAACACAATTCCTTTACTGAGCATTCCTCTTCGTTTGTTTTGAATGGCACGCCTTAGTTTTGTTAAAGTCTCACAATATCGTGCCGCATTAATGGTTTCACCTCTGGGAAGAAATTCAGTAGGCAAAACGCCTTTCCTATCCCAGAAGACAGTGCACATGATTTTTTGTGATGGCATTGTCACTTTGAACTTTTGTTTTTTCGGAGAATGAGTGTGCCTCCACTCCATCGATTGTTGTTTCGATTCTGGTGTGAAATGACACACCCAAGTTTCATCACTTGTCACAATTTGGTTTAAAAAGTTTTCTCCCTCATCGCTGTATCGCCTGAGAAACGTCAGGGCACTACCAAGTCGCTTTGTTTTGTGAACATCAGTGAGCATTTTTGGAACCCACCGGGAACACAGTTTGCGATCATTCAAGCGGTCAGACACAATTTCGAACAAAACAGTACGTGAAATTTGTGGAAATGCCTCTGAAAGAGTTGTCATTGTGAAGCGTCTGTTCTCATGAATTGCTTCATCAACTTTCCTTACCAAATCATCGGTGACAACAGAAGGCCGACAGCCTCGGCGTGTTTGACCTACATTAAACATTCTTACCCACTTTCTCACCATTCCATCACTTATCGCGTATTCACCGTAAACTTCTGTCACTTGACATAAATTTCAGCCGGTTTAACATTTCTCGCGTTCAAAAATTTAATCACGGCACGAATCTCACAGTCAGCGGGAGAACTAATTGTCTTAAACATTTTGAATGTGCACAGCAAACTGAAAAGACAACATAGAGCAACCAAAATGGCGACAATTGAAAGTCAGTGAACAAGAAAGACTAGTGCGCATGCGCGGAACGCCTACCATAGCGCTGCGACGGCGCTAGAATGAAACGGTACTTAATTTCCGAATACGCTACGTATATAGATTAAAAAATACAGTTACCCAAATTAGTATGCCAGATGCAAAATCACATTTTACACTTTGTGAATATATATTCATATACCTTACAACTTATTATTCAAATTACATATTACAAATTATATAACACAATCTAAACATTCATAAACAAGGTGAAAGAACAGAGTAGCGAGAAAATACAAAAGACATTCCGATCTGTGTGCTGTTAATATCTCGCTACTAATTAATTTCATATTGCATATTAAAAAGGTTTAAATTATTTACAGTCGTCGTAATACGGAACTAAATGTCGCACAGAATAGTGCGACAAAAGCAAAATACACTAAATTACATCAAATATAGGACCAACGGTCTTGCAAAATACCGTATGGTGTAAAATACTCGCTGTGTAAAAAAGCTATTTGAAAATTCCCGTTTGGCTATTACCTAACGTATAGCAAATTCTAAATATTTCTGAACTAAAACAATATGCGGAGGCACTGCTGCACTATTGTAAGTGACAGGAATATGAGGCATTTCTCTTAAAAGGGCTTCCAATAAGGCATCCTTCCACTTGTGCAGAGTCCTTGCCTGCCATAGTTAATTAAATAAGGCATAAAGTAATAAATGTAATGAATAAAACTTGCGTAAAAGGTTCGATGCATGCAAGACTCCAAATGTATCTCACAGTACTTTTTCTCTCTAATAAGGCTGTTATCACACGTCTATTTGTTTCGGGCGAACAACTGTTTCAAACAATTTTCTGCCTGCCTTACCATAAAGATTTTTTACTTCCATTTTTTCCGCACGATGTTTTTACTTCCTTTCGCGAAAAACTGTAAATTGTTCGTTTTCAATAACCAATTAGCTTTCAAGGATCAAGGAAGTTAAGTTTACGGAGTACTTTAGCTCCACATCATCAGAAATAAAATTAAATTACGTCAAAAGAAGGTTTCGTCAAATAGGGTAAAAATTTAGAAAGCCAAAACTAAAATAATAGCTTTATACCAATTAGCTACCAGCTTCGAATCCCCGTCACCAACCGTAATAGGGAATTCATTCGTAATAGGGAATTAGTTTCCTCTTTACGTGGTAAGACAAAATGATTTGTGGTGATAGACTGTTTTATATCATGGGACAAAGACAAAAAATTGCCCTAAGCAATCGTTCTTCCTAAATGTTTTGAATGTGTGATATGACTTTAAGAATCCCATAGTTGGGATTTTAGGAAACAGCAGCTGGAAATTTTGAAAAGCATCAAAATAGAGCTGCATCTCATTTTAGATAAGCGTTATCTTTATTTTAAAAAAAAATAAGCTGCAGTTAATTTAACCCTGTTCTTACCTGCTGTTTACAGTGTTTCAGCAGTTAATTTTACTTTATTCTTGCCTGCTGCTTACAGTGTTATAGCAGTTAATTTTACTTTATTATCGCATGCTTGTAGATAAGGCTGTGTGTTATTTTCAGAAAAATAAGCGTTAACGGGTTGAAAGAGCTCTCCAACGAGTACCTCAAATACTTTTCTAATTTTACACGTAAATAAGTTTCTCTTACATACGCATGCCAGCCCCACTAAATAAGAGGCTCTTAAATATCCCAATAAAAAAGTTCGCGGCCCGTCAACGGCCGATTAGTAAACGTCGCTGAGCACTGATAGTTCGGTCCGAGGTTCGAATCTCGGCGAACGGGCTGGCTGCATGGGCGTTTTCGTGGTTTTCCCAATATGTAACGTATCAGCCGGTTTCCCTTAGAAAGCCCTCCACAAAGGCATCGCTTCTCTTAGACAGATAGCTCTCGAGTGCTTTGCTATAATTAAATTAAACCAAACCCCCCCTAAAAAAGTTACCTTTAAGTGATGAGACTGAAAATACTTTTCGTGGAATCCACAACAGGAAATAATGAATAGAAACTTTTCGTCGAAACGTTTTTAGCTATTCTGGAAGATTTGCGCGGAACTAACGACAAGGCTCTATATTGGCTTTCCCTGAAACAGTATACATCACACACACACAAACAATTTCCAACAAAAAGAAACTCTCTAAACAGTCCTCTCCATATATTAATAAAATTTGTCAAAAATGATAGTGCTATAACATAAACAAGTAGCAAAATTGGTTTTTATTATCTTTTAAACTTTCTCAGAAGTTCCAAAAGACGTCGGCAACCCATTGTGCCAAATTACGGAAGAATTGTCTCTGTTTCACAGTCCTCTTCTGCTTTTGTTACGATTTCTAGCACTTCTCTTTTAATCTTATTCTGGTACTTCCTTGGCAATGCTTTGGCTGTTTCACAGATACTGGCAAAGAAGAGGTCTAAATCGTTCGGTTCTTTACCCGTAAAGGTTATAATTTTATTTTGTGGCTCTAAATCTCTGGATGGTCTGGAAATTTCTCGGCTCTGTAGTAGTTCCAGGTGCTTTTGCTCGTACGATTTGTCCACAGTGTTTTCCACATGGCTGATAATAGGCTGGATGTCATTGTCGCTAGAATGACGTTTTCGTTTGTTTGTCCGCTGAGGAGAAGCTGGTGGTTCTTCAATCGGAGGATTTTCGGAGATACAATCACTTGCACTCAGTTCTTCTTCAAAATCGGTTGTCACTTCCGATTTGATAATCACATCGTCTATTGCTTCGAAGCAATCACTGTAAATAGTGATTTCCTCACTGTTCCTAGAAGAAAAAGAACACGAAAATGTAATGGAAAATACTTTATGTAAATGAAACGTAATGATGGATCCTTACAAGAAAAGAATGTAACATAATAACGCAATCCCTTCTTTTCCTACTAATCGTACAGCTTGAAAACGAGGAGAGGAAAAATACGCGGTATATACGGTTTCTAAGGAGATGGCTTCATCTTAATTTTTAATGTACGGCAGATTCAATGCGAAGGTCAACAACAAAACAGTGTTGCCCGTAACAATAATTTTACGGCTTATAATTTTATTTCTAAAAGTGTGATGAATATCGCGGCCACACAAAAAGTCGTGGCGGGCCGCGGGTTGGCTACTGTTGATATTGATATAGTGTATAGCGGACAGTCGCGGGCTTACAAGAATAGCGTACGGGGTTAAGAACCCCTGACTTAGATGATAAACATAGAACATTTAAAAGAATACATAAAGACACATATTATTATATTATGTATTGGAAAGGATTTATCAATTTCAACAATACTCTTTTTATTTACACAACACCAATTTGCATACATTTTATACTATTACCATATATCAAATGTTTCTAAATCATACCCTTAAAAAACTAAGAGGGCAAAATACGTAAGGGGGAGAAATATGCGACTAAATAGGACTATGTAAATTATGTAATTTTACAAATAAAAAAAATAACGTTGTTAATTAGTTACGTATAAAATAATATACGCTAGTTACACAATTAAGTTAAAAAATTCTATATAAAATTTACGTATCTTTATAAAGAACAAAAAATAATACAGTTTTTAACAAATTATACATAAAATAGCTTAAATTAGTTTAACAATAAAATTTAAAAAGATTTTATGCCAGAAATAGAATAAATTACGTTAGAAGTATCTTTTATGACGCCCAGACGATGCAGTGGTTAGAAGAGCTACTGCGGCATAGAAGTCGCTACCGCCCCCCCAGTAGGCTCTGGATATTTGTAAATGTATAGTGTCTTTGCGGCATGCGGGCACTCGAATATGACGAGACGAAAGTCCTCTCGAGAAGTTGGTGGTACGGCAAGAGGGATGAGAGACCCTCTGACACATTCCCCTGGGGTGCTCTGCATCGAAATTGGAAGCGGAACTGAGCGAAGTCGTACGGTCACCTGCATGGTGTTCTTACGACAGGCGCAATGTCGCTCTTCTTGCCACAATGAATTTCGTGGGCTTGTTCTGATGTTACTGTCAAACAACACATCACAGCAACACATCTTTTGTTAATCAAACTAATGGCAGGGATGTTGATAAAAATTACCGGTTGGGTTATATTGTATGATTTGAATAGATTATTAAAACAAAAATGGATATCAATTTCACCGCTTATCTACAGCTGATAATCAGGTTGTGGTCCGCAAATAGATCACACGTATGTGGCAGTATACTGAACTGATATATCATTTTAAATTAAACTCAGTATACATTGGCGTCCATCAAGGTGCTATCACCGTTGACGTATAAGGGTTATTGGTGGTCAATAAACTTACTGGTGCAGGATAGAAGAATAAAGTTAGATCTATAATTAAAATTGAGATGTATCCATTCTCGTTAAGGACGACCTGCTTGCCAACACGTTTTTTGTCATTTGTGTTCAACCCAAAAGTCAATGGTTTGGTATCGTGCAGTAAATTTAGAAAGACATTTAAATTAATTTTGAGCAAACTCAGCCTTTCGTAGCTGTTGAGATTACTTGCGACTTACAGATTGAGAGCTCAGTTCATGACAGCTGTATGAGTCGGTGATGCACATTTAGGCAAGTATTTTAGTTAAAATTAAGTCGACCTGTTAAGACCTCATTTGTGACTATCAGTGCTGTTGCCGATGACCTACAGTTTGAGGACTAAGGGTGAGCTGAGTTGAGATCAACCAGTGGGTCCATGGTCTGAGACAATATACTGCATTTAGATAAGCTTTAAAATTAAAATTAAACTGAACAGCACTAATGCGCATTAAAGTTACTGGTGATACAAAAAACGTATCAGTTTTTTAAGCATTGCGAGCGGTGGCATGAGCAGTCACTAGTGGCTGAGAAGTCGATGGCCACTAGGGATCAGCTCATATGGGGCAGTACCATTAAATTTAGAAAGATGTTTAAATAAAATTAAGTTGGAGCTCCGGCTGGCCGTTAATGCTTTTGTTTACAGATGACCTACGGCTTTAGGGTCGCTTAAGTAGCAGTGGCGTGCGAGGGGGGCAGGGGTGCATGATTCCCCGGCGCCGCTCGTACAGGGGCGCCAAATGGTCTCCAAACAAGATTTTCCGAAAATTTCTATTTTTTTTTGATCGATTTCTGGCAAATATATTTAAATTAATACTTTGTAATATAAATTATTATTTCTTGATTTGTGATAAAATGTGTAATAAAATGTTTGCAGTACACAACCAAACGTTCTTTCTGATACTTATTTCTCCAAAGTGAGATATATATTTAAACGAAATGGCGTATATCTCCCGCTTTTTATTTTAAAACGATAACACGACCTTGTCCCGAATTTCTCAAATATATCCAGTTTCCAAAATCCAATTCCATAATCTGGAAATGACATTTTTGAGATGCGTAACGCTTCCGCTACAATGGATTGCGTTTGACTCTCCTATAAACGGCTGATGGCCTTCCTGGCTACCAATTCAACTAAGCCATCTTCCTGAGACGTTGTATATTAACTTCTACGAAGCATTTAACGCATGTGAATTGTTTTTAATCTTCTATTACAAAAGGATACTTCAGTCGTTCCTTACTCCTTATCTAAAACACATAGTTTTCGACGTCACAGACTAAATTTGCATATTCCCACTTTGTAAACGTTTATAATTTTCCTTTATATATCTCTCTATTTTCTTTTGTTCAAAAATGTTATCGATTATATGTTATTTCATACCGAACCCACAATATCCCCTAATTGTTTTGAGCAGTGAATGTGACTGCATGACGTTTACTCGCAGTAGAAAAGAAACAGAACCTAAACTCCACTACAGATCTATAGAGAATATGTTTTTCCAAACCTAAGAGTCGCACTTAAATACTACTTACTATGAACGTTCGTTCAGCAATTAAAATAAATTTTCACATATTTACAATCAAAGGTGGGACAAGATCGCCTAAGTCATCTAGCATTTTTAAGTGTGGAAAGAGAAAAATTTGGAAAGGGATCGACTTTGATGAAGTAAAATGATAAATTTGCTTCATCCAAGGTAAGAAAATGTATACACAATAATTAATTTTATTCATGTATTATATTATTATTAATAATATAAGAGCGCGACCAAGTCGATGTGCACGTGATTGAAGCGAGATGAGGACAAATTAAAATTTTTTAGTTCGCTGGTGGTGTATCTGACAATTTTAGATCTTAGGTATTCCAAGCATGAACGTCTCCAGTTGGCTATGTCCTTTTGCATACTACGCCATACAAAACATTGCTGTATTAGTTTCCTCGAAGCCTTGATGCCAGGATGTGACAGACGATGTAACTGACTAAAAATGGCATGGCGAAACCCGGAGGAACAGTCGACCCGGAGGGAAGTCGAAATCTTGAATCCTGAACATCACATAAAGTGATTTTCCAGGTGACAGCTACATAGGCTGCAAGTTGAGATTAGGTGGAAGATTTGCTTTTCAAGAGGGTTTGTAGTTCTGAATTCCGGTGTTGTTCATCCGCAAGGGCCGGAAACGTTTATTGGCGAAGGAACGGCTAGTTCTTCAATACGAGACAAGGTGTCTGCTAACAATATTCTGCGAACCCTCAATATAAGGAGGATCTCTGTTGAAAATTGCCCTATGAAGTCTAGGTGTCTCATTTGACGAGGAGAAGCTTTATCCGAACGCTGTTGAAAAGCACATAGGTTAAGGGTTTGTGATCTGTGAAGATCTATGAAAACGCGTCCCTCTAGCATATGTCTAAAATATTTGACAGCTTCATAAATTCCTAATAATTCGCGATCGTAAGTGCTGTATCTGGTTTGGACTAGTGAGAGTTTTTTAGAAAATATGAAAGGGGTTTCCATAATTCTTGACCTTTCTGTTTTTAAAACTGCTCCTATACCTGTCGTTGATGCTCAACGTGTAGAGATATTAAGTTATTTTTTGGAAGCAGAAGAGATGAAAAATATGCAACGCCTTCGCCGGAATCGAAACGCGGACCTCTGGAGTACTGGCCCAGAGTGCAGAACCACTACACCACGAAGGCACGCTAGGAAAGCGGAAGAAATACCTTATATACTCCCCTTTTTAAAGGGCGACTGGGGTTTTTAGGGGACGCAATCGCCAAATCCTGGGTGTGGAGAATCCTCATTCAACACCCCTTTTATTTCGGGCGCCACTGTAGAGACATTAGGATATTTGGAAGCAAGAGAGATTGAAAAAATAGCAATCGCCTTCGCCGGGAATCGAACCGCGGACCTCTGGAGTACCGGCCCAGCGTGCAAAACCACTACACCACGAAAGCACGCTAGGAAAGCGGGAGAAATACCTTATAAACGTAGAGTGATAACGGTTTAGATGCGGAAGGATACTGCAAATTTGTTGCCGAAATTAAATCATTTTGCATTTTTGGAACGCTTCGCGAGATTCTGCGGTCCAGGTTATAACACGTTTATCGTTTTTCTTGATTCCAACCAAAAAAGAATTTAGAGGTGCTTGTATGGTTGTTGCATGAGGTAAGAAACGTCGATAAAATTTGAGCATAACAAGAAATCTTCTTAAGTCGTTAGTCCTTCACTGTAGATGGTTCGGGCATATCGCGGATAGTGGTGACTCTATCTGGAAGGGGTCGAACGCCATCAGAGGAAATTTCATGACCAAGAAAGCATACTCTTGGTTGGCCAAAAACGCATTTGGATGAATTAAGACTGACACCGTACCTTTGAAAACGTTCAAAAACTGTTCTCAAATGTGAAAGGTGTTCTTGCTCTGAAGAGGAGGCGATTAAGACGTCATCAAAATAAGGTACACAAAAGTCGAGGCCGTTTAACA